AAATGAAACTACACGAAATTAAAAAGCTTCTGCACAACAAAAGAAATGGTTTCTGAATTGAAGAGGCCACCCACAGAGTAGGAGAAAATCTTTGCCAGCTATACATCAGACAAGGAATTGATAATCAGAATATACAGTTGAGTTCAAAAAACTAAACTCCCAAAAAATCAATGACCCAACGAAGAAATGGGCAAATAAACCGAACAGAGCCTTTTCAAATGAAGAAGTCCAATGGCTAAAAAACAAGAAAAAATGCTCACTATCCCTGGCCATAAAGGAAATGTAAATCAAAACCACATTAACATTCCACCTCACTCATGTTAAAATCAAGAACACAACAACGAATGCTGGTGAAGATGCAGAGAGGAAGAGAAAGGAACCCTAATACATTGCTGATGGGAATGTAAGCTAGTACAACCACTATGGAAAACAGTATGGAGGCTCCTCAAAAAACTAAAAATAGATCTGACATACAATATCACTCCTAGGGAAATATCCGAAGGAATGAGAGTCAGGTTACAACAAAGGCACCTGCATATCCGTGTTTATTGCAGCACTATTCACAATAGCTAAGCTATGGAAACAGCCAAGATGCCCCACTACTGACAAATGGATTAATAAAATGTGGTATTTATATACAATGAAATTTTACTCAGCCACAAGAATGAAATTTTGTCATGTGCAGGTAAATGGATGGAACTGAAGACTATTGTCTTAATTTAGGTTAGCCAGGCTCAGAAGGCCAAAAGCTGTATGTTCTCTCTCCTAGGTAGAGTATAGACCTAACACAAACGCAGTAATAGTATGAAATACTGGTCATACTAAGGGGAGGTCACATACAGGAGGGGTAGGGTAAAAGAACGATATACTCTCTACACAAGAATGAATATAGAAAGAAGAAAAGAAAAAAAAAAAAGAATGAATATAGAAATCTTAAGCCAGCTGAAACCACCATTTAAGAAAGGGACTAAAGTAGAATGAAGAAAATTAGAGGAGATAAACCAATTGGGGTTTTATAGTACATGGAAATATCACAAGGAAACTCTCCGTGTAGCTACCTTTATCATGTCTGTCTTTTTATCTTTTCTCTTTTTTTCTTCTACAAAATCGGAAAACAGCAGGGTGGAACAGGCCGAGGGTGAGGTGGGGAGGAGCGGGGAGGGGTTTGGTTCCAGTGGAAGAGGGGAGGTGAAGGGAAAAGGGTTTAGGAGGGTGAATAAGATGCAAAAAACGTGTACATATGTATGTAAATGCAAAAATGATACCTGTTGAAACTATTTCAGGAATTGGAGGAGGGAGGGATAAAGGAGAGTGGTGGAGGGGCGAGAATTCAGGTATGATATATTTGATACATTGTAAGAACCTTTGCAAATGCCACAATGTACCCCTATCCCCACCCAGCACAACAATAAAGGAAAAAAAATAAAAGAATTCTGGAAAGAAGTATGGAAATGTAATAAAATCCCTTTGCATAATTAATATATGCTAATAAAGATTAATTCTATAATTAATTTTAATCATAATTCTTGTACTAATTTTACAATCTAAACAAACACACAAATTACATTAAACAAAACTATGCCCTGCTGGCACAGGATGGCATGGGGTGCTGTGCTATGGAAGAGGCAGAGATGTGTAAGGAAGATAAAAGTTTGAACCTCGTCTTCTGGTTATGCCTTCATAGAGAATCATAACAAAGGCTGTGACTAGCAACCTGCAAGGGGCTCCTAAGAAGCTGTCAGAGTTGCCCAGTGTACAGTTGTCTGGTCACACTTGCTTCTGTCCTTCCCTCCCCAGCAGCATCTCTTCCTCAGAAACCCTTGCCTGGTCTCCCAGACACTCTACAGGCTTCACAGCTCTGCATCTCTCCTGTGCAGCCTGCTACAATTTTACCCAATTAAATGATTACTTGATTGTCACATGGTGACTCTATCTTCCTTACTAGGTCTTGAGTCCTTGCTGAAAGGGATTCCCCTTGCCTTTGCTCACTCCTGTGTACCCCAAAGATCAGTGCATAACACTAATATATGTGCTTTACACACATCAAGTCATACATTCCCCACCACACCTAAAAAAGTATTTACCATTACATCTAGTTTATAGTTGAGTGAAATGAAACACAGAGGCAATAAGGAAATGTCTAGTAAGGTAACAAAGCCTGAAGGTGGTGACTGGCATTTATTTTCCATTTCCCATTTCATGACAAGGAGGGCTAGACAGGTATGAGCCGCCTAGTTTCCAGAAGCTGAGATTTTAAGGAATGAATGCCCAGGAGTTCTGGGGAAGGTGGCAAAGCCAGGGATCAGACTGGTTTTCTAAAACCAAACCTATGTGCTCTTCCCCAAACCCCTGCTTCCGTGTACAACCATGGCTTTCATCATGTAGCTTCCATTAAGAATCCCCTTTAAGGATGTGAGGGCAATCTGGCTGTGACATCTGTCACCCCATTGATCGCCAGGGTTGATTCTGCTGATCTGGCTGGCTAGGAGGGTGTCCCCTTCCTCCCTCACCACTCCATGTGCATCCCTCCAGAAGCTGCACGCTTGGTCAAAGAGGACGACCATCCCCGATAGAGGAGGACCATTCTTCGGTCAAGGGTAAACAAGTAGCTGCACTCCCCTGCTAGAACCTCCAAATAAGGTCTCAAGAATCCCCTTAAGCCCCATTCCAACCCATCCCCTTCCTGGGTCACCACTCTGGAGCCAAATTCTCTGGAGCCTCTGGGACTTGGGCCTCCTCCACAGCTGGTCCCTAGGACAAGGCTGGGGTGACCTTTCTGCCCTTTGGAACCCTCAGTCTAAATTGCAGTCTCATCTAATACCCAGAGGCTAGCCAGGTGAACACACTGCTCAAGGGAATGCTTAACACGGTCCTATAAAACTAAGCTGACAGATGCCAGGGCCCCGAGGAAAGACTTCCCTTATGCTGGATCAGTAACCTAAGTGCACAGATAATGGCTATACCGCTCTCCACAGGTACAGTTCTAGGGAGAGTCACAGGCACAGATCAAACTTGGAGGGAAACCAAAATTGGAGGCAAGGACAGGAGGGTGGGGTCATAGGATGCTTGCCCTTTCTCATGGTTTTCAATACAAGCAGAGTTAATCATAATTGAAAAACACCACTCCTCACGTAACAGGTTAGGGGTGGGGCCCAATTGTCCCCAAAGAACCTACCATTGTCATAATGCAGTCTGACAGGACTTCTTTCCAGCCTGTACCATCTCATAGAACAAGTTTAGAATGCTTGTAAAGCAGAAAGGTCTATTTTGCTCATTAAGTAACTTACGAGGAGAGAAAGGGCCTTGTTCTAATCATCAGCTTCATGGCATCTTGACACACTGGCCCACTCCTAACCCAGAGCCTCCTTCTGAGCCACCCTTGGGCCTCCAGGCTCCTCAACACTGCATGCAAGGGCCTCTGCCCTGGCTCCTTGTGGAACTTGAACTTTCTTTCTCCTAAGCCCACCCTCCAGGTCTCAGCTCCTGGGTCTAAGTCAGGTGGCTCTCTCTGCCTGCAGTGCCCTTTCTCCTTTTAGGACAATTCAAGTATCAGTTCATCCATGGTGACTTCTTGGGCTCCCTCAGCTAAAATTGACCTTCGCTTCCCAGGGCCTTTTGTTCACCTCTCTCAGAGTATGCTCACATTCTGCCTTCTGTTAGTTATCTGGGCACCTCATGCCTATTCCACGTTAGAAGCTCCTTAGAGGCTAAGGCTCTAAGCTGGGCTTCCCTGATGACCTACAAAACAAGACACCATGTCCAGCCTGTGTTGGTGAAGTGGAGAAATTACCTGCACAGATTTTAAAGCCAGACAAACTTGAGGGGTTGTTGTTGTTGCTGTTCTTTTTTTTTTTTTTTTTTGCATTGCTGGGGATTGAATCCAAGGCCTTATTTATGCTAAGCAAGGACTCTACCATGAGCCAAACCCCTAGCTCCACTAATTATGACTGTGCCCTTAGGAAAGTCTAATCACCTTCTTGAGCCTCAGTTTTCAAATCTGTACACACCCTTCTTGACAGTGATCAACAAATGGGATTTAATAGCAAATCCATGTTTACTGAACTCAACTCAATGTCTCCTTAGAAGCACAGGAACTCTGTTAAATGGCTCTGTCATTTACTAGATGTGTGACCTTGGATGAGTTACTTAGTCTCCTAAGACCCTTTATAAAACAGCAATATTTCCTCCCACAGAGATAATGGGAAAATTAAAGATAAAAAGCACAGGGAGGAATTTGTAAATTTCAAGGCCTTCTGAAGATGGGATGGACCATGGTGGCAGTAAACAGAAGGGCTCAAACAGTCTCTGGCCCAAGAGAGGGGAACAAGCCTGCTTGTGCTTGTGACAACCAGGCAAGTTCAGACCAGTTTCCCCAATTGGGCCTGAACCCCAGAGGCCGCACAGGTATTGACACAGGTATTTTCACTTCCAGAAGATGATTAGGGTTAGTTAATGCTAGGCCTTGGCCAGGAGTGGGAAGATCCAGTCTGCCTCCTGCTCTACATACAGGAGTCTCCACCCCACTCCCATGGGCTTCTGGTTGCAAAGACCTGAATCTCCCAAGAGGGCCCAAACTGTTTTTCTAATGAGGTTCCACCAGTTCTTCAGCCTTGGGGAAGGCAGCAGTTGTTCCCACACCCGCCTTGGATGGCAGGGGTGAAGGCAGAGGTGGGAAGAGCTCATCTCTGAAGTCAGAAGTCAGGAGCTGAATCCTGAGAATGTTGCTAACTCTGCCCCTTCATTACCTACCAGCTCCTTCTTCAGGGAGACAAAAAGGAATGAGCAAAGTGATGCCCACTGCCCACATGTGAACTGGCACAGACAGCTATGTGTGTCCTGGCAATTGACTGTTGAGCTTCATTATCAGAATAGGCCCTATGATACTTACATCAGAGTTGTTAAGACAGATAATGAAGACAGCACAGTTCAAAGAGCCTGACAACTAGAAAGTATTCATGAGACTCCCTCCCTTCCCTTGCACAACTAGCCCAGGAACTCACCATCTTCTGCAGTATTCAGTTTGAGGCTCTTGCCCTTAAAACTCAGCTGTCCTCCAGCCACCTGGGCTTTGGCCAGGGTCTCTGCCAACTTGGCAATGTCTTCAGAGGCCATACTGGCCACGATGGTTGGCTTCCCTGGAGACCTGCAAACTGAGGAGGCCAAACTTCGTTAAGAGGAGTCTCTGAGCATGTGCAAGGCCCTGACTTTGATCTCCCCCACTGACAAATAACAAAAATTTTAAAATAGGAGTCGCCTGGGGGTTGTGGGGGGTGGGTCAGGGAAGAAATTAGCCATCTTGGGGTCTTAGCCCTATCACCCCTTACAATGGAGAACACACGATCTAAACCACTGGAAGAAATGAAAACAGCATTAGAGAAGTAACAGTTCTAGAAAGCTGGAGGAGGTAGCAAGAAAGCACCTTTTAGCCTCTAAAGAGTGACATCTCACTCCAAGTCCACATAGCAAAAACATTTCCTGGGTCTCCCAGTGAATGGCAGTCAAGTCCCAAACCAATGGCTTCACTGAAGAGTCTGCCTGCCCCAAGCACACACCTGCCTGATCATCTTGGCAACTCTCTGTTTGAGGGCCCTGTTCCTCAAATAAGACAAAGATGGCTATGGGATCTAGGTCATCCATCCCAGGGAATACCCCACTGCCCACGCTGGCATGACTCTGGGGGTGGGGCACAGGGCTTAGCCCACTGTACAGCTGGTTTCAACCCTGGCCAGGAGACACTACAGGCCATGGTGGCCCCTCAGGGGTTCCTAGGAGACCAGAGGTATCTACATCACAAGGGTCACCATCATAATAGGCATGTATAGGGAAAAAAAGCCTCAGTTTCTCCACTATACTGTCACAACACACTTGTAACACGAGATTACTAGATTCTTTCCCATATATCAAGTAAGCAGTTCTGACCCGGACACCAGTGGCGTATAATCCTAGCTACACAGGAGGCAGAGATCAGGAGCATTGTGGTTCGAAATAATTCAAGAGTCCCTATCTTGGGGTGGGGGTGAAAGGAACCCATCACAAAAAAGGGCTGGTGGAGTGGCTCAAGGTGTAGGCCCTGAGTTCAAATCCCAGTACAGCAAAAATAAATAAAGTAATAAAGTAATCAATTCTATAGGGGACACCAGCTATGTGTCTTCTAAGTTAATTCTGGCACTAACTATTGGAGATAGCAGCAGATCTCACAGGTTGAGAATTAAGTCCACAAGACTATAACCCACATCTGATGTCCCAAGCTGGTTTACCTGTGCTTCTGATCTACTGGCTATGCACTGATGTTCCTATGATCCACTCCCTGGGTTCATTTAATTTGCTGGAGCACCTCACAGAACTCAGATTTGTGTGTGTGTGTGTGTGTTGTACTGAGGATGAAACCCAGGGCCTCACACATGCGATGTAAGAGCTCTACCACTGAGCTCCATTCTCCAGACTGTATAAAGGATACAAACCAGCAGTCATATAAAGAAAAGCCAGGTGCCTTTGGCTCATGCCTATAATCTTAACAACTCAGGAGACAGAGATCAGGATGATCACAGTTTGAAGCCAGCCTGGGCAAATAGTTCCCAAGACCCTATCTCAAATAAAAAAAGGCTGGTGGAGTGGCTCAAGGAATAGGTTCTCAGTTCAAACCCCAGTACCTCCTGAGGAGCTAGGATTATAGGCGTGAGCCACAGACTCCTGGCAACTTTTTTTCTTTTTTTTTTTTTGAGACAGGATCTTGCTATGTAGCCTAGGCTAGCCAGCAACTGACAATCCTCCTGCCTCAGCTTCCCAAGTGCTGAGATTATGGTCATGCATCGCCATGCCTGAACTGAAGTTTATGTTCTAAACAAAATATTTAGTATGGCTAGTGATAAAAATAAATAGGAGGCTAGGGATGTAGCTCAATGATAAAGAGCTTGCCTAGCACATACAAGGTCCTGGATTCAACCACCAGCATGGCAAAAACAATATAAATAAATAAATAAAAACAGGAAAGGGATGAGAAAGGTTTTTTTTTTTTTTTTTTGGAGGGGGATGCAATTATAGTAGAATAATCACAGAAGGTATTATCAGAAAAGAAACAAAGATATCCTGTATTGCAACATGTAGACATCTGGGGGAGAAGCCTTTCTGCAAAAGGAACAGAATATGCAAAGGCTCAAGGGGGAAGAGGAGAATGGAGAAATGGCAAGGAGGCCAGTGGGGCTGAAGCATAGAGAGCAGGGGAGAATGGAGGCAGGAGATGAGAAAATAGAATTAACATGGGGCTCCAGTCACAAACGCCACATTAAGAACCCTGGCTTTCGCTCTGAGTGGAAGAGCAGAGCTACTGAAGGGTTTCTAACAGAGGACAGCAGTGCTCTTAACCTGTTTTGACAGCATCACTATTACTGTATAGGGCTTGGCATTTAGAAGGTGCTCAAAAAATGACCAGATGAAATGCTGAATAAAAATTAACCTGACTCTCAATCCCCTCTTGAAGTTCTGAGATGGGACAATTTGAGGCTAGAAAAGTGGTGGGGGCTCCAGGTGGAATAGGGACACAGAACTCAGCTGGAAGGGGGCCCATTCTCAGTCCAGCACATACAGTCAGACAAACAGACACGCGACCACGCGCTCTCCCCCCGTCCACTTTAAACACTAAAAAGCGAAAAGCAGAGAGACTTGTCCAAGGCCAGTAAAAGGTCAGCGAGCGACAAAGACAAACACAAATGTCCTCTCCCTTCTCGGCGACCGCGTGGGAGACGTCCTTAGGTGCACATCCATCGATCAGGCAAAACGTCAGCAGTGACTCACGCGGATCCCGGGGGCAGCAGCACCAGACGGACCCCTGCGGGAGTGGGCCGACTGGAGAGGCGGCGGAGGCGAGCTAGGCGCGCACGCCGGCGGTGCAGGACACGGGCGGCGGGGCCCCACCCGGGATCCCTGCAGGACTCGCACCGCCTCCAGGTGAGACAGACGCTAGCATGAGACGCCAATGATCGCATCTGCCGGCTGGGCGGCTCAGCCTAGTCAGACGCCCTCTCTAGGTCTCAGTTTCCCCACTTGTAAAAAGAGCCAGCGCCGTCCAGCACCCCACTCCCTCTACTCCGCGCTCAGCCACCAAGGGCGCAGCAGAAGAGGCCGATGGACGGGCAGCGAGAGCTCAGCGCACTACACACTCCTCGCCAAGTCCCTGGCGGCTCCTGCGCCCCATCCCAGGCAGGTGACGGGGAAAGTAAAGGAACCCCGACCATACCGTAAACAGGCAGCGCCGCCGCGTGGGACGACCCGATCGCGCGCGTCCACCGCGCTTGGTGGAGACGGATTTAGGGTCCGGTAAGGTTCGGTCCGGTCGCCGTCCCCGGGCCCAGCGGTCCCAATGCCCAGTCAGCCTGCTTGTCGCGTTCCCGGATCTCTTAGCCACTCGCGTCTCCCACACCACCTGCTCTCCGCACGGCGGCGGATGATGGCGGAGGAGGAGGATTTTGAAAGCCGGCAGTTTCTTTCCTTCGATTTGATTTGTTCGAGCCGGGACTGGCTTCTCCCCGCCCCACGCGCGCGGCCCACCGGGTAGGGAAGTCCTGTTCTGCTGCACGGGCGCGATGGGGTGCGCGCCTCGAACTATTAGTCCCATGGTGCACCGCGTCAAGCACTCCCGGTCCTCCTCTCCGCCTGCCCTGGCTCTTTTTCGTGGAGAACGCAGGGCGGTGTTTGGTCAGAGAAAATAGAGACTACGATTCCCTGAAGGCCTTGCGGTCAGTCGTCTACACCCTTCCGGGAAGGTTTGCGCTCAGGTTCTCACAACTTTATTGAAAAAGGCTGATGCTGCCAAAGAGCACTGCTGTATCTCTTCAGCAATAAATAGGGATCCATTTGCTGAAAGAAAAGGCTCCTTGCTTTTGTCCCATAAAATGATCAGAACAGTCGAAGGATTACTTGATAATGAAAAGGGAAATAGCAACTGCATAGTAGAGAAACCCCACCTTAACCACCGAATGCCTGCCGGCATGCCTGCCGGTAGTCCCACCACATTAACAATAACAGGACAAACTGACATCCATCATAGCCTCTTTACGTGATGCAGTGCATCACCGCCCGCTCAGCAATGCACAAAATTAATGAAACCATGAGGAAATTTCAAAGAAACACAAGCTGAGGGACAGAATAATTGGTCCGTACCCTTCAAAAAATGTCTGTGTCATGACAAAAAAACAAAAACAAAAAAAGGACTGTTGCTGATTAAAGGAGATAACAAATGGACTGGGGGGTAGCTTGGTGGCAAAACTCTTGCCTGTTTTGTGCAAAGTCCTGGGTTCACCCCAAAATAAAAAAAAAATGAATGAATGAATAAGGGATATGAAAAAGACATGAAAACTAAGTGCACTATGTAGCCTTGGATTAGCTCCTGGATTGGGGAGTTTGCTGTAAAGGACAATATCAAGACAGCAAAATTTGACTATATATTATATAACTATATTAATGTAAAATTTGTTTCTACTGATTATGTAAGCGTGATATTATAAGAAAATATCGGGGTTTTCTAAAATCCTTGGAGGACACCCAGCCCCTGCCTCCTGCAGAATTGGTTACTTGCTTGGTGTTCAAGATTTATGGGAGAAAACCCCCACAAATCAGAAGTATTGTGTGTTGACTGTTGAGTGTATTCTCAGAAGAGACTTCCCTTGTTCTAAAGGAGGAAAACGCTGAAATAATTAGGGGCATGATATTTGACACTTACTCACAAAATGATTTTTTTTAATTACTGTGTATCTCCATGGAGAGATACACAAATGTAAAATGTTAACAAGTGAATCTGGGTGTGTAAGAGGTGCTTTAGCTGCTTTTGCTGAAAAGCACAGACTCTTTACTTGGACCCACAAATTAATTAAAAACAGGAGAAAAACTTGGCATTTCCATCTCCATTTTGCACCTGTTGGTTTTGCTTTGAGTCATTCTCTCCTGCAGCCACCTTGAAATTGAAGAAGAACAGGAATGATCGATAACATCTTTATGCTATCCCTAGGGAACAGCAGAGCCTTGAAGGATAGACCAACCCTCCAAATGAGGAAAATTACCTTTAGGGATAAGGCTACACCCTGGAGCAGGAATAATCATGTCTTGGGAACCTGATTGCCCAGTCAAGTGATGATAATAACAATTTCTCTGGAACCCTGAAAGAACAAAGACTGAGATAATGACCAACCAGACCCCACTTGACCACTGAAACACACCTGTGACTGAGACTGTTCATGCATATTTTTTGTCCCTTGTCCTAATTCTTTGTCTATTTAAAGGTAAAGCTCATGTCTGTACCCTAAGGATGGCTGAAAATGGGCTGAGTGTTTACTGTGCCTCTTTCCACCGTGTGTCCTAGGCCCTGTAATAAATCTCCTTCCTCTGCCCTTCACTATGTCTCTTTAGTTGCCATATAGGGACAAGTGGCTGGATAGGGCATGTGGAATCCCAGGAATTTGAGCCTTGGGTTCAAAACTCTGGTTTCAAGTGGAGAATATATGGGAGAGCCAGGTGTGGTGACATCTATCTAGGGAGGATCATAAGTTTAGGCCAGCTTGGGCTACATAGTGAGACCCTATCTCTAAACCAGGGGGGAGGAGTGCAACTAGGGTATGGCTCCTGTGGCAGAATTCCTGCCTAGCAAGCTTGAGGTCTGGAATTAAAACTCCAGTACCACCAAAAAAAAAAAAATTAAATAAAAAATACATGGGAGTTCTTTGAATATTTTTGCAACTTTTCTGTAGGCTTGAATTATTTTAAAATACAGCCTGGCATGATGGTGCAGGACTATAATCCCAGCACTATGGTTTATGAAGTGCATTCAAGGGGCAGCCTGGGCTAAATAGTGAAATCCTGTCTCAAAAAAAAAGAAAAAGGAAAAAAAAGGGCTAGCAGCATGACCCTGAGTTAAAACACTAATACAAAAAAAAAAAAAAAAGTATAAAAACCCTAGAGTTTTTCTTTTCCTCTATTTTACAAAGAACTTTCTTTTTTTTGGGGGGTGGGGGTGGTTTGGTTTTTTGAGACAATGTTTTACTATGTTGCCCAGGCTGGCCTTCAACTTGCTACATTGGCTTCAAACTCCCATCCTCTTGCTTTCACACATTCAGATGTGTATTGCCACACCCAACTACCGACTACAAAGAAGTTTTTAACCATTATATAAATAAAGTGTTAATTATAAATGTTTCTACAGATATAGGATAGGATAAAGGGACCCTAAGTAAACAGGACCCTAAACTCTTAGCACCCTGAAATAATCAGCATATGCAGTCTTCTTTCCTAAGTTACCTGTTTGTTTTTTTTTTGTGGGATCAGGATTTGAATTCAGGGCTCCATGTTTGCAAAGCAGGCGCTCTACCACTTGAATCATGCATACAGTCCTTCAAGTTACCTTCTGCAACTCAGCCCACACTTGCTGTTGGTTTACCCTGGCAAATAAATAGGTCATGTGCCATACAACTAACTGAATCTTTTTTTTTTTTTTTTTTGAACTCAGGGCCTTCACCTTGAGCCACTCTACCAGCCCTTTTTTGTGATGAGGTTTCTTTTGAGATAGGGTCTTAATGAAGTATTTGCCCCAGGAAGGCTTCAAATCTCCATCCTCCTAATCTCTGCTTCCTGAGTAGCTAGGATTATAGGCATGAGCCACCAGTGCCGGCCACTAATTGACTCTTTACAACCATAACTCCCCCCAGCCCAGAACTGAGAAAACTGGAGACCAGAGAGAAGATAACTTCTCTGTTCACACGACTTCTGAGAGGTGACTCCTCTCCCTACCTGCCTTCTCCCTTTCTGTCTACAATGGCCACATCATCCAGGTGGCCTTCCATCATCACTCTAGCAGAATTCCTGCAGGTGCCCACAATAGTTGGTCCACAGCTCTGAGGGCTTTTTCATAGAGTTACCAATATTGCTCTTCCTCCTCCTCCTCCTCCTCCACCTCCTCCTCCTCCTCCTCCTCCTCCTCCTCCTCCTCCTCCTCCTCCTCCTCCTCCTCCTCCTCCTCCTCCTCTCTCTTCTTCTTCTTCTTCTTCTTCTTCTTCTTCTTCTTCTTCTTCTTCTTCTTTTCTTCTTCTTCTTTCTTTTGGGTGGTACTGTGGTTTGAACTCAGGCCCTGAAGCTTGCTGCCAGACAAGTACTCCACCACCTGAGTCATGGCCCAGCCCTTTTTTTATGTTAGGTATTTTCTTTTTCTATTCTTTCTATTTTGTGGTGTGTGTGTGTGTGTGTGTGCGTGTGTGTGTGTGTGTGTGTTGGGTATTTTTGAAATAGGGTATCCCAAATTATTTGTCCAGGCTGGCTTGGAACTGTGATCCTCCTGATCTCTGCTAGGATTACAGGCATGAGGCATGAGCCACTGGTGCCCAGCCAAAGTTAACAATATTCTTTTCTTAGTGGCTGCCTCCTCAGCCTGGGAGTGTCTCCAGGGCAGGTTCGGTACCCTTCTTTGCAATATCATCTCTGGTTCTGGCTTGTCCTGGGTGCTTTAAGTTTCTTCACTTTTTATGTCACCCTCACTTTTGAGAATTTTTTTCTTTTTTTTGGTGGGACTAGCGTTTCAATTTAGGACTTCAAGCTTGTAAAGCCGGTGCTCTACCACTTGAGCCACACCTCCAGTTCATTTTGCTCTGGTTATTTTGGAGATGGGAGTCTCTCAAACTATTTGCCTGGGCTGTCCTCAATTGAACCTTGATCCTCCCAATCTCAGCCTCCCAGGTAGCTAGGATTATAGGCATGAGCCACCAGTGCCTAACCTACTTTTGAAAATCTTAATTCCAGTAAACATCACCAGATATTTCCTTAAACCGAACTATCCCGAGAGGGGTTGTTATACTCCCAACCATGCCTGATGCTGTTCCTGTGCTGTTTCACACTAGGACTGGTCAGAGCAGCCTGGATTTTCCTTGAGGGTAATCCCAGTTTCACTTCTTGAGACTCTCAGCCTCAGATAGTGATCTCCCAAAGGGAAGAGGAAGAAGGTGGGTGGTAACAGCACCTTAGAAGGCCTTCCCCTTCCTCATTCAGCTAGGGATCATCAGATTTCAGAGCTGGGAGAGACCAGTGTCATCTCTCTCTCTCTCTCTCTCTGTCTCTCTCTCCTTCTTGCCCGTTTTCTAATTTTCTTTCTTTCCAGTTATCACTTAGAGCTAGTCTTCCTGGTTTAAGAAGTGGAGTCAGCCTCGGACAGAGTAGACCCATCCAAAGTCTTCTCTTTGCTCACTTCAAACAATGAAGGGCTGAAGTTCTGAGAGCCCAATAACCGGTCCAAATTACACAGTGATTTAGACAGGAGACAGCAGAAGCCAGCTCTCTAGAGTCCTGTTCAATACACATATACACAAAGCAAGTCATGTTGTGACTGCAAGCTGAACCTGAGTGTGAGGGGCAATGGGGAGTTCCAGACCTTTCTTTCTCTCTTGTGCAGCTTTTTTTTTTTTTTTTTAAAGAATGTTTTAGAAAGCAGGCTGCCTTTGATTAGTCTGGTTTACTTAACTGAGCTGCCTTTG